CCCCATACAAACATTCATCCCCATTTTTACCCCCTTAAGGGATGATTTCCGGGATAAAAAATATCCTATGTCCTTCCCAGGGTATCAAACTATCTTTTTACCAAGCTTCATCTAAATCGATTCGGTATATCCAGAGATTACCTCTTACAACGTCACAAACTCACAAACTCACAAACTTTACCTCTTTATAATATTAGTATAGATAAATAAATAGTGAGTGGACTTAATAAGAATTGATGAATGAAACTTTTTTCTTTGTAGATGCAAATTAAAAAAAATACTAGTATAGAGTAAAAACATTAATGTATAAAGTACCATATGTGGATTAAAAATCATTAGACTCTTTTGTGCAATATAAAGATTTAGTAATGCATTTTCTTTATACTTTTTCTTTACTACGACAATATTTGTAAAATTTTGTTATTTTAATAGGTTTTAAGTGTTTATTTAATGATGAAAGAGACGTGATAGAATCAATATATTCTTCGGAAAAGTATTTTTTTCTTTTTTCTGTTACAACCAGGCAAAATGAAAATATTTTATATTTGATTTTTTTATTTGAGTAAGTCTAACACCCACAGAAAGACATACGCCCGTGCCTTTTTTTGAGCATTTTTATATTTTGTTGTTATTTTTATTTTATTCAGCTTAAATAGGTCCAATTACCAAAATTGATATAACTGCGTATAGTAAAGAATTTGGTTGTTTGATTTGGTATTACGTACGATCAAAACCATTAAAAATAAAGCAGTAGATATACCTATATGTTAAATAAATTGAATTATAAACTACGATTATAAATTAATAATAATTATTAGTGTTTTGCACAGCCGTAAAAAAAATCTCCATATTTTTTTTATATGGTGATAAAAGTATCTTTATAACTTATGTGATATGTCTCTAAAAATAAAGGTTAAGATTAAGTCATTAATTACACGACAATAAGTAGGTAAGTTTCTAAAACATGCGAACTAAATTAAAACGTAGTAGGTACGTTTACGTATCTAAATAGGGCTAAGTTATTAAAAAATAAATAATTATTAGTAACAAGTCGCCTATAAACTAGTTATGAGTCTAAAAAACTAGCACGAAATACAGAATAAGTACAGAATAACATATATTATTACTTAAAGTATGATTTAAAATATAATACTTTTTAGATTAGAATTTAATTAATGCTTGAAACATCATAATACCCTATATATGGACTCATATATTCAAATGCTCAAATGCCTCAAACACACCATTTACATGTGACTCTAATATTGATTTTTTATTGTTCTATGTAGGTACATAATCTGTCTATTGTATTCCACCTTTAAAAGCTTAACCATTTCCATGAATAGAATAGGAGCTTAAATCAAACACGTATTTCATACAGCAAGCTTCCATTTCAAATCCCACTTGGTTAAACGCCGTTCGCAACATTAGGTATATGAAGATACATTTATTTATTTAATAATGTTTTTTTTTTGGTATTGATATTGTGCAACTAATCACATGAATTCGATTCGATGACAACACGCTTAGGCCGATTTTGATGATCCTTCGTGATGACGTTGTTAGATTCGTCTTGATAACGCGAGTGTTGCTATATAAAATTGTTTAAAAATTAAAATGGCGGATTTCAGGCGCCAATTTGAGTCTTTAAAAAAATTCTTCCAGAGCAATCGAGTGGGATATCAAAATAAAGGTTTTTAAGAGGCGATCACAAAAATATATACAACTTGTTTAAAAGTAATTTAGGATAAAAGATTGCTAAATGTTACTTTGCAAAAACTATAAAGCTGTAAATAAAAAAAATCTATACTAATATTATAAAGCTGACGAGTTTGTTTAGTTGAACGCGCTAATCTCAGGAACTACTAATCCGATTTGAAAAAATATTTTTGCATTAAATAGCCGTTAACTGAGGAAGGCTGTAGGCTGTATATTATCCTGGAAAAATGTACGGATCCCGTGGGATAGACTTGTTTTTGTCTAGGGACGAACCCGAAGCGAAACGAGAGTGAGTCGTTAGTGCCTAGTGTATTAAAAAAAATAAAAAAAAACAGATATACATACGTGTTTGGTAAAAAGATAGTTTGATATACTGTTATATAAAATAAATACAGGTATAAGAGTATGATTATTTGTAATTTGCTAACTGTACGCTAAGTACTTAATTTAAAAATCTTTGACATTACTATTTATTAAAATTTTGACCACCCTGTTAAATTTTGATATTGCTCGACACTTGAACCGCAAGGCACTGTAAAAACTAAATGTTCTATTCTAAAGGTTCTTAAAATGTTTAAATCAAAATATTAGAAAAAAACCTGGATTACTTAAATGTAATATTATTAAGGTTTGAAAAGTTCCTTCATTTTAACATTTCCGACAGACTAATAATTATTTATTATTTACTAGCATTGCCCGCGGCTCCGCCCGCGTTTAGATGGTCAAAACTAAATTCTTAGGTTTTAGACTTGTACTCTTACATTGTAGTTTTTGTATTTTTCTCAGAAATGAGATATTTTCCCGAGGTAAAAAGTATCATATATGTTGACCCGGATAACCAGCTATCACCATACCCAATTTCATAAAATCCCTCCAGTGGTTTTTCTGTGATGCGGTAACAGACAGACCGACAATAATTCTAAAAACCATAGATTCGGCCTCTGTATCGATAATAATGTCTATTTCAATAAGATTTTCCAATAAATATTTAATGTACAGATTCGGCTTAGTTATAATTTTATTATATGTATAGATAAATACACGATACAGCAAAATCAAAAAATAATTGATATTGCTGTATCGTGTAAATTACAAAAATAACTATCAAATAATTTAAAAAATTGAGAAAACACACTTTTGTAGGATTATGAACTAAAAGAACTAATTCAAATTTTGTACGAATTAAACATTGAAACTAAAGATATTACGAGAATATCACTAACAGAATAAGAAGTGTCTCAATTGTTAGTTTAAAGACTTGATACTATCTGCTAACAGTCATCGAAATCTGCGCAACGGTTTACGCTTGATGAAGTTATTGTAGAATAAAAGGTTGTTTGTTACTTGGGCACGGATTAGGAGAGCTTGATCTTTAAAAGAGATATTTAAAAATAATCTTATAAGGCTAATGGAAGATTTCACGCGAAATCCAGCTTAGATGGCCCCATTAGTACCTATTTGACGTCAAGAACAAAAGAATCAAATCAAATCTGTTTTAATACAATCTTGAACTTAAAGTTTCTTGATTCTACATGATATTGGCGAATTAGGTAATCTGTGCTCAACTGGCACGCTTTGAAGCCATTAATTAACAAATTGAATTTAACTTAAAGTTTTTAAAATATGAATGCGTCATAATAAATATTAATTTTTAATTACACTAAACCACGGTAATGTTACAATCATTACCGTGACTAAACTGAGTACGAAAATCAGTAGACAGACAACCGAATTAAGTACATCATTTTTTTTGAGGTTGGTCTGCAGTAAGCAGACAGCCCTGAAGAGCATTTTTTCCATAAAACATATACATATTTATTATTTATACATTATGTGTAGATACCTACATATATAGAACGATATTTCAAAGTTACGTTTAAATTATGTAAAATTGTACATCATAATTCATTACTGAAATTTGGCAAAATACTTATTTATTTTCATAAAAATTTAATAAAAAAACCCTAAATGGCAATACAATGTTAAAAGTTTTTATGATCCAACAAAAATATATAAACAACAAATTATAACTCGTCATGAAGTTTTACATAACAATAAAAAGGGGTCCCAACTCACAACTCCCAAAGCGCGACTATTGTCCAATGAATTCAAAATTGGAAGCAATTCTATTTCGGCGCTCACGCCGCGGGACGTGCAACGTGAGCGCTGCGCACGCGCTGCCGGTGACAGACCCTCGATACTTTAGTCAGCGTGGTCGTTCCCACAGCCAAACACGTTCTGTGCACTCTCAAGGATATCACACTGTACTCGACAGCGAATAAAAACTTTTCTAGTGTCGTGAATCGTGACTGACTGTAAACGAAAACGATTAAACTACAGAAACGTGCCGGTAGATATAGTTTTGTGAGAAAAAGCGGCTTGTGGTATACATACATGATGTGTTTTAGTTACTTGTAAGGTTATAAAATATAAACTACATGCCAATCAATCTATATAGCTACTTTTTTAAAGAATTTATTAAGTTATGATAGCACAATGTAAGTTCATTTTAAAAGTAAACAGGAATAATAAAGCCGTTAAAATAAACACATACATTGTACAGTAACATAAATGTTGTATTCTATTTAAATATGTACATTCCAGTGTGAAGGTCACGGTGTGTTGACTCGGGCAATGTCAACTAAATGTGTCCCAATCGTGCCCACTTTTTTAGATTTTGACCTTATGAAAAATATTTAATTATATTTAATTGTAATTTTTAAATTTTTGCTTAAAGTCTGTCTAAAAGAACTGAGAAATTTTATTTTATTATTCGTTTTAATTAATAGGTGATGGCGCAAAAAATACTTTTTGAGTAATAAGTATAGCACAATCCGTACATTTTCATTGCGTTATGTTTATTTACGCAAATCATGTCTACTGCCTTCATAATAACATATATATTTTTTCCTTGATCTATTTGACAATAATAAAGTGCTTTAGACAGTTGCTATATATTATAACATTGAGGTGGTGACAACACCATAAAATAGGCGCTCACGACTAAATATTTGGGCTTAGTATGCCGCTAATGATTGCACGAGATACCACAATGTTTGCTTTGAGATAATGATGACGGGAATCTGCGCGCGCACTGTGCTCTAATAAGAACCGGCAGCCACGTGCTCTTGTTTGCGACTCACGATTCGTGGACAATAGAAAATTCAGTGACAAGTGTCTGCGTCACTATAGGATTTTGCGTCATAATTTAAACTAGTTAAAAGTGACTATTGTGCGTTAGTGGAATATACCGAACGACGTCGGTGTATTGGTGTAGCGATATGTTGTTGTATGGTAGCAGAGGAACGAGAGGGCCTATACAACGGAGGCGCTCAGATCCTTTAGAAGTTCTATGCTGGCGTGGAGTTCAGGGCGAAGTGGCGCGGGCAGTTCCCGATGCGTTCCCGCGAACCTGCCACCGCCTATTCGGGAACTGTCCAGCGAAGAAGATAGTGAACATGACGCCCATGGCGCGTTGCTCGCGGGCGCCGCCGCTCGAGCCCGGAGACGACACGTCATAAAAAATAGAAGGAAATCCAAAATAGCCTTCAGAGCTCCAAGGTATATAATTATTAGTTAAATGAAATACTTTGTCTGTTATTTAAATGTAATTATTCTATTTTCGCCAAACTAGGAAAGCGATGCCTTTATAGCAAGCAGATTTAGCCAACGACAAAGCTGGTCGGCCGTTATTGTTAGAAAATTTAGGTCAATCAATGAATAACCAATGTACTCATCATATACTATCAAGGTATCACAAAAATGAGGACGTTGATATCATGACAAAATCTTGTTAATGAATTAAATATATAGGTTAAATGCAACTTTTTATTGAGAAAAAATAACGGGTTATTTTTTAGTTTTTAAAGATTCATTACATTCATTCGCTGTTTTAGCGATAAGGCCGCTTCTTGTTAGTCTTAGTCCTATTTCTATTTTTCTTGTACTAATTTTTCGTACTTTCGTGGGTGTACAATAAACAGTATTTATTATTATTACTAGCATTGCCCGCGGCTCCGCCCGCGTTCTGATGACCAAAAACCAAAATCTTAGGTTTTACGTATTAGTTAATATACTCTTACAATGCAGTTTTTGTATTTATTCTCAGATATGAGATATTTTCCCGCGGTAAAAAGTATCCTATATGTTGACCCAAATAATCAGCTATCATCATACCAAATTTCATCAAAATCTGTCCAGTGGTTTTCTTGTGATGCGGTAACAGACAGACAGACAGACAGACACAAAAATTCTAAAAACTATAGATTCGGACTCTGTATCGATAATAATGTCTATTTCAATTAGATTTCCCAAAAAATATTTAATGTACAGATTCAACTTAGTTACAATTTTATTATATGTATAGATTACATTATACCCAATACTACTTATAACCAAAGTTAACAAACGCTAAATTCAATCGTAAATATATAATTCAACCAACTTAAAAAAAGGTTAAACATTCGATTGAAATAAATATCTATATTACGTACCAGACGACAGACGTCTTCTACCAGCTTGGGTGATACCAGCCTGCTAATAAACATCTGGAACTGGAACGTCTTAATCGATCGAAATTGTCACTCGCGGATAGAGAATTTCAGCGAGAAAGTCACAGGTCCTTCCTATTCCAGAAAACAAGAGTTGTCGTGGGATATATGATTGCAAAACAACAAAAATAAAAAAAAACCCCGAAAGAATAAAAAGTGAACGTAAAAGCAAAAAAATATCCTACGTGCAAGTGTAGCGAGGTGTATGTATGTATATATCCGACATTCAACTATTTTCCTTCGTTAATTTGTTCCCATCTTCAGTCGGTTTTTGAAGTTATAATTCTTTTGGCACTTTGGAAAAAAATATAAAAGTAAAATTTTACGATACGTGCGCACATCGACAGCCAAAAAGTGACATGATGAAGTTAGCTGAAAGCGACATGATGAAGTTAGCTGCATTCCTTTTATAAACAGATAGTTGTGACGTATGGGATGAAATTTTTGTTCTTTTACGCCAAAGAAGTATAACTTCTTAAGTGCGTACACACACACGTTTTATTTTATAATTTATTATTTATTTACTTACAGCTTTACTCGTATAGTTTTCGTCAGTTGTAGTTTGAAGTTTAAATTTTATTTAAATAATATAAATCGTTGTTTATAATGATCACGACTAAAGTAACTAACTATAGACTAATAGTAGTAGATAGGTAGCTAAATTCTATAGCATGTTTATTTATTTATTAAGGATCTCCAACAGAAGTACATATAAAAATACAAAAAAAAAATACAAGCTCTATGGACAGTGTTTAAAATGCACCCCCAATTACTGGTGAACACAACATGCAGTAAAATTGTGTTGATATTATGCATTACTTAAAGTTTATAGGTGTAACTAAATCAGACTAAACTAATTAATAAAACCAAATTTAAAAGTAAAATAAAATAATTTTGTTATGAGTTACGTAATGTATTCTTCTACTACACTACGTGTGAAAAATAATATTCATTAAAATATTACCTGAAGTCACTTTTTGTCTCCGTGATGTCCAGAATACAAAAAACGTACTTACCAAATTGTAATAACAGTCATTTATATTTTTTGAACCAAATATTTTTTTACTAACTTTATAAAAACTCATAAACCAACTAATTCAAAATATCTTCAATTCAATTCAATTCTTTTATTTATCCTTCAAAACGTGCCAGTTGAGCACAAATTACTTTGCCACTGACAAAAGAAATTTTCAGAAAGCCATTGACCTAGATAATGCAAAACAGTATTTATTCGGAAATTAATGTCCTCTGCAGATTTTAAGCTCCAATAGAGGACGATGTCATCAGCATATTGAAGTACTTTACAAAAATTATTTACAGACAATTCGAGGTCATGAGTATATATATTAAACATGACTTATGAAATGTACCAACCTCGAAGAAATGTTCAGATTATGCATTTTCTGCTTGAGCATCGGAAGAAGAACATTATCATAAGCAGAAGCAAATCAAAAAAGACACTACTGAGAATATGAGCGCTAAACAGAAGGAAAGCGGGAGGATGCTTCCATATAAGAAACATTATCTTGCGACATTACCATCCTAATTCACGGATGTGTAACAAATTCAGGACAGTCTTTGTCTGTGGCGAAATGTTTGCTAGTGCAATGTATACATGTTGAGTTTTCCTTAATGATATTACATGCATCCCGAGTAAGAGATTAGGAACACCTGTAACACCTTGGCTTACATCTGCATTGAGATTTAATGTGGCCGAAGCGGCAGCAATTAAGACACTGTGTAGTGGGAAGTTTATATGTTAAGGAAGAGAAAAAGATGATGAAGATGTTGAGGAAGGGAAGTGTGGTAAGAGAACACATTCTCAGGCAACATTTGATCCCTGAATGTTATTGTGACCGATTGAGTCAGTACCCAGGAAACAATGTCTTTGCTTACATTCTTACGGTTCAGACGTCTCACTTTCATGACCGCACCACAACCTGGAGGGAGTTCTAATGAATCAACAAATTCATCCATTGCCCAGTCAACAGGGACTTCTTTGACAAGTTCCGTTCGAGTAATGTTAAATGTGGATATAACTGCTACATATTTGCACATACTGAAAACAGGATTCTCTAAAAAGTTATTAGCTGCCTCAGCAGAGGAGAATTGGACAGCGATTTTATTGCGACCAACTTTTTTAACTGGATCGTTGATTATATTGGGAATTTTGTTATTATGCAAAAATAGACCGAATTTAATGGCTCTTATGGTTGTTTGTGCTGCATGGTCAGGAGTATCCCTGGAGACGTAGACTATAAATGGACCCTTGTCATCGTCGTTGTAGGAAGTGGGACCTTCGGATATAGAAGGATGTATATACACATTTTGGATTGAGGGGGTGGTAGTATTAGGATTGTTTATAGTTCTTTTAACTGTTCCATTTGTATCAGGAGTTGAGTCATCCCCCTGGAGTTTACGAGAAACAACCACTGTGTTTAACAAAGTGGAAGATCCGGGATCCGGAAGCTCCGCCGGTGGATCACTATCCATGCTTAAACCTAACCTAAACCTACCTTTATAAAACACTTAACACGAGGATTACACCTTTGACACATAATTATGTATAATAAAAACTTAAAAGAGAAATACGGATTTATATAAAAAAAAGCACCGATCTCAATAACACGTGTGTAAGCCAAAACAAACGCGAGCAAAGTCTCAAAATAAATTTAGTTGTAGGTTATCGAATTAAATTATTACATATATCGTATTATAATATTCCAATTTTTAGTCAAAATGAGGATAAATTATTATACTTCTAGACAATAATTAGTTCCCACGGCATAAGCAGGAAATCCGTTCAAAATGCTAAAAATTCACGAGTTAAAACTACACTGATGCGAAAATTATACTTATCTGCTACCTACCTACTAAAATGATTAATATTAAAAATAATATTGAGATTTTCAGGCATATCTACTAGGTGTTAGGCTAATAAAACTAACATCAGTTTACTGGAAACACATAAATATGATATTTACTCAGTACATAGATTTATGGAAATTCTAATGTCCTTAAGCAGTCTTTTAGTTATAGATTGCAGGTATTATTTTAGTTTATTTATATATATCATATCAGCTGTAAGTATATGTACAAAAATACAACGAAATCAGCGTTGAACCTACATAGAATATTTTTAAATGATACTAGCGGACCCGACAGACGTTGTCCTGTCTACACGTCTTTAATTTGAAAATTTCAAACTTTTTTTAATAATTTTTTTGATGAATATTATTATTCAAATTGTGAATCTAAACCATTCCCAGATCCCCTTGAACACACACAAAAAATTTCATCAAAATCGGTCCAGTCGTTTGAGAGAAGTTCAGTGACATACACACTCACAGAAGAATTATATATATAAAGATAACACTAGTATGTATTTTATTATAAAATAGAACCCATATAAACGATTTTGAATAACACATCAATTTATTTCGATATTATTAATAAATCTTAAAATTGACTTTTTTATTGAAAGGTAATACTTTCTTAGATTCGAATCGAATATTTCACATTTTGAAATATAATACTCGTACCAATCTTTTCGAATCTTTTCGGATTTTTTCGCGGATTTATTTTGATTTTTGGTTCCCGACGTTTCGAAATCTTTACAGCATTCATGGTCACGGGAGAGACTAAAGTTTTAAATGTCTGCAAGGTTATTATATAGTTGTTACAGACAGCCCCTACCCACAAAATTATAGAATGATGTTCAAAAATACAAAAATATCACATAATATAGTAAAGTACAAATTCGGTCAATAAAATTGACACTATTGCCACATTTATAAATTAAAGATATTGATTTGTATTGCTATTGTCTTAAGCGTTCCTCTAAAGAGTAATAAACACACATATCACCTCCAGGTAAATTTCTAAGAAATTAATTAAATTTCTAAGAAATCTATTGTTAACTGTAACGCCGGCGTGTCCGCGGTCGTGGCGGGATAAATCGACGACTATAATAAGTATAATACTACTTTTTCAACATGAACTGATTTTAATATGAATTGGTGTTTATATGTTGTATACAGCTATAAAACATTAGGTAGTATATGTTAAAGTACAAGTACAAGCTAGAATGATTTTACAGCAAGATTTTACATTACGGTTAAGTACTTCATCCAGTAAGTAAGAGTTAACAACTTACGATAAAATGGCTATGATTCTAGTTTCTACAATTCAAGCAAATTTGAATGAATTGCTTTCGCGCAAATATGTTTCGGTCGTAAGAATGGCATCCAATGGGCCAGTTAGCATTCCCGCCACGTTCCCGCAACAGGTCGAGCGGACAATATAATTTAAGACTCCACAGACCGTACATCCGATTATTCAGTTTGTGTTATTATTTTTGTACAAAGGTTGAAACGTTATTACATAAATGTTTATCATGTATGTATGTATGTATGTGTTTTAATAGTTTCTGCATATAATCGGGCAGCGGAGTTTTTTTTTCACAAAGCTATATAATATACTTATCTAGGATATTGCAAGCGAGTACCTACTCGAAAATTGAGTTTAATTAGTTAATTTATGTGCGAAATTTTAAAAACTTGAAATTTGAAATCTCAGTCTTTTTTTACTTTTTCTTGTAAAACGTGACCCCCTGAATACTTTCTTATCTATAATATAAAAATGAATCGCTGAATGTGTTGCTAAGCGCAAATCTCGAGAGCAGCTCAACCGATTTCGCTAAATATTTTTTAGAATATTCCTTGAAGTACAAGGGTGGTTCTTACGGAGAGAAAAATTTAAAACATTGCCTGAAAAAATCTAACAACAACACTTTTCTATATTCCTATACAAAAGATGCGTAATAATACTTAAAAGTCAATTTGAACTTTAATACCATATCATAAAGTTTAAGTGTTAGTGGAGAGGTTCCGGGAAGGAAAAAATAAAATGTATATGGCTAACGCTGGCTAATAACTATTTATATCTATTTAAAACGTACCTAGCGACGAACCCGAGCGAAGCGAGGGTGAGCCGCTAGTTGTTAGAAAAAACATTTAGATATACAAATAACATTTAAGTATAGTAAGGTGTATATTTTAAAAGAAAAAGTAATTAATTTGTTGATTGTGAAATAACCTCGTAATATGA